CCGGCTTGGCCAGACAGGTTTCTGGAGAGGTCGAACATTCCCCTGTGTTGAGGTGTCCTCATGTGAGTGACTCCCATCAGCAGCTTCCGGTCCTGGAAATGCATGAGACACTCCTGACAAGTTATGCCTGATTCCACTGATGCTGACAAGTCAGTGATGCTATGGTTTACATACCAGAACCAGACCTACTGAGCTGCACTGTTGTGGTACTATGATTTCCAAAATGGGCTTCCTAACTGAAGCAGGCAGTCTCTTGGTGGGGAATAAGGTATCTATGTCAAAGACTGAGAACCATAAAGGACTTGGTGAGGATGTCTTCCATTTGCTCGTTTCTGAAAGTTCACCCAATAGGGAATGCCATCATGGCTTATTGAAACCATTGTTATTATCACAGTATGAAAAACGATTGGCACTCAAGCTTATGTTCAAATAAATTTGGTCTGTATTTGTGCCTCTGCTGAAAGAGTTTTAACCTCCAAGAGGAAAGGAACCGTAAATATTGGTCTATCCCAGAATTTGATGATAGTAATTAGTTTTTATTTTGTCCTGATTAACTGTGGGACAATGAATATGAAGCAACAACTGTGCACCAATTAATCAGAAGATAATTGCAAACGTAAACATTCATCAGTTTTATAACTGATCAGTTTGTATTCATTATTCTTCCTGGCAGCACTGTTGTAAGCAGACAGTATCAAAAAGTAGGGTGTACGTGTATAATAACTTGGAGTGTTTGTTTAAACATTCTTCTTTGCCCTGTTATATTTTAAACAATAAGCAGGAGTTGAACTTTGGCCACTGCATTTCTTAGTGACTAAAGGCATTGGTAATAACCAAGACAAAAAGGCTTTATATACATTAAATGGACACTTCCCCTTCTTGACCACACTACCATATATGATCTTAAGTTCTTGCAATATGCTAAGAGAGTGTAATTAGTAGAGATGTTATGTATGAAGTTCATGATCTTTGTACATGTAGTATAAAAAGATGCAAGTGGATCTGCACTGCAGGTAAGAAATGTTTGTCGCACAGTTGTAATGTATGCCAGCCTTCACAGGGGTGGGTCCTTGAGCTTCTGCTGCATCTTGAGCAGAAAGAGTCAAGCCAGTTGCCTCTAATTCTGTCACACAAGTCTGCTTTCTGAGATTAATTAGAAGCAGACTCCCTGTGCAGTAGCATTTTGTTCTTTTGAATGTGTTGTGTGACTTCATTTTGAGCAGTTCTAGGTATAGACATCAATTAGCCTAGTAACTTGAGGTGGGACTGCTTGGTGGTTGTAGTTATGTCCACAGTTCAGTGTGGTTATCCAGGCTAATTGGTATGTGAGCAGCTTCATTACATACAGCTTGGTTATGGTCAGGTAGAACTTGTGGATTGAGAAATGGACACCAAGAGCTCACTGAGCTGCATGCTGCTGCATTTACGCTGCTTCTGTGTCTCAGCCAGAGCTACGCTCGCTTCTCGTGTACATGTTTATGCTCCAGACTCATCACTATAGGCATAGCAGTTGCTTAAAGTGGTGAGAGAGAAGGCTGTGACTAGACTTTCTTTAATGTTCAGAAGCTAGCAAGGCACAATAATTTGCTGTAAGATTTATTATGAGGCTCTGTATCTATAGATGTCTAAGATAACTAGTAAAAAAGAGCATCCTGTCCCTCTTTTCTTTAAAATAGCATTGGTGTATCTATGGTCTGTAGTCTCTTGCTTTTATTAGTTAAAAGTGACATTTAATCTTATGTGCAAGATGTAAGTAAGGACTAAAATTTATTCATTCCTGTGTGGCTACAAGAATTTCAGTACTTCCACTTCCCTGTCTCTTGCTCCTATTTTGCACAGCATGCATCCATACCCAATCTGCTCGCTAGCCTGTAAATCTCAGTCTGAACAGACTTCCTTTTCTGGAACACAGATGTGTAAAAGCATTTGGAGTGAATTGTCAGCCCTTGGCCTTCAGAGTACATTGGGGCTTAGGTGTTAAGAGTGCTCTTCTCTGATTGGAGCTCTTGGTCAATTTTTTCTTTTTTTATTTGCCTTGAAACTGAAACTGCAAATGCTTTGAGTGGGTTTGTTTTTCCACTCTTAATGTGGAAATGTTGCTCCTACCTTGTATCAAAATGCCTTTTTGTTACTTGTGGAATTGTGTATCTTTCACTGCAGCACAGTTTTAGACTAATCTTATCTGGTGGAAGTGAGAGACTGCTAAGTAGGGTTCTGGCAGCTTATATATTGATGACCAAACAGTTGTCTTATACTAAGTTAAACCCTGGCTCATCTGAACTGGTGAGAATTTTTATGAATGCTTACTTGAGCTAGATTTGTCATGGAAAACGTTAGTCTTGCTCAGCTCCTGTAACCTTCTAATCATACTTTAACTCAATGTGGTGTTTAACTGCCTTAGGTGCACTTGATGGTATGTTTCAGGTACCCTGTAGGAGTCACTACCACTACCCTTGCTTTGCAGGCAAGAAGTAGAGATAGGAAAAAATGGGTAAAGATGAACAAAACAGCTGAAGTTCAACCAGAAGATGAGCTTCTACTTGCTGCTCTGCATTTGACTTCTGAGCTTCTGGCCAATGCTCCATACTTTGCTCCCTCCTTTGGTCAGAGTTGTTTTGAAAAAAGACCCATTGTAAAAAATGGGTCTGTTGCAGGAGTTTGCTTAGGGTATAGAGGCTTTTTTTGTTTTCAATGTGATAGACACCTGATCACAAAAGCACACATGCTTCTTGTGGTTTGTTGGAATTCCAAGTATGAGTGTGGCTGTTCCCATTGGAAACAGTGGTATCAGCCCCAGAGGACTAGTGCAGACTTTGGAAATCTGATCTCTTTGTAGTAAATGTCAACTTCATCTTAGAATACATATCCACTAGAGTGAGGAGGAACACTCCACAGAAGTTGGAGCTCTCCTTGTGAAAAAAATTCTCTATTGCACAAGGTTATCTGAAAGGCCTGTATTTCACAGAAGTCTTAAAGTATAACGAAAGCAAGCCCTTGTTACATTAAATAATAATCACAACGCTTTATACCAGCATTTTAGTGTCATATTTCTTACAAATGTTTACTGGACCTCGTGGTGCTTCTCTGTTCTTTGAGTAGCCCAAGCATCAGGGCTTTTTTGTTTTGTGTTTTGGTCTGATTTGAGGAATAGGGCAGGATCCAAGAACATTTCTTAACAACGTGGTGGCAAGTCTGATTTGTTCTAACAAATGTATTAAATGGATTTGGCCATCACATCTTGACAGTAGTAAAGGTTTGGTTTTTGTTGTTGCGGGCATGTGTGTGTGTCTGTCTGTGTGTGTTTCCTTCTTCATAGTCCTGGGAACTTGCCAGTTTAATGCAGGTTTCCTGAAGTATTTTTTACTTCTTTTTTTGGTCAGGTGCTATTGCTTTAAGTCATATTTCTCTTTCACTGTTAGTTTTGCAACTCTAGTGGGAACGTGTTATCTTGCAAGATTTGAGAAGTAAGTAATGGAAAGTTGCACAAGTTTTTCTCCTGCTCAAGATAACAGAAATGTACCATCAGCTTACAGTTTCCAAATATTGGATTTTTATGTGAATAAGAGCAGTTAAAAATAGAACTTGCAGCAGCAAGTTGCTTTTAGGCAACTTCCTAGAAATATATAAATAAATAATCAACCCTCAATAATTAAAAGCCCACCCAAGCAATGCCTAGTAAAATTGTTCTCATTCTTATTGGGCTTTTGTGACGTTTCGATTTCTGAAAATTAACAAAAATCAATCCATGTACAGTTCTAGTAATATGCTTTCTTGTCTACTTCAGTAAAATGGATTTGGAGGAATCCATGCTTCAGATATTTATGTGGAATTGAATAGAGGTGTTTTTAGAACACAAACTATGAGGTGTCTAAAGAAAATAGTTTCATATTTGATTTTAGAATTTGTTCTATCAGATAGTGTTGTTGTGTTCTTGGCATCTGTTGTAGTTTCCATGGGAATAAATAGGAGGCACTACATTTGGAGCAGCCTATGTAATTGATTCTTAGTAAAAGGACATCAAAGTAATAAGCTTTTTGTCTGCAGAGCTTGTCTTGCAACTTATCTTTTGTTGTAAAAGAGTTCACAGAAAGGAAAAGCAGGGAGAGATGATGAAAACCATGTTTCTTTTTCATTCTTTTTTTCTTCACGTTACTACATTTCTTTGAATTGAACAACCCAAAAAATGAGATTGGGTGAAGAATGTCTCTCAAGAGGGAGAAGGATGTTTGCAGGAGAGGCGGAGATGAGTCATTTTACTTAGTTTACCCTCTTGATCCAACAAAACTTTTGTAGTGGAAATATTCTGCCTATTAGGAAAGAAGCGTCATTTATGTATGCTGATACGTTGTAGTTGCCTCATGCTTTACTTGTACTTTGTGACTCTGGGAAAATGAAACGTGCATTTTAAGAGACATTGCAGAAGACTGCATGCCCTGTTTTGTAGGCATTTGTGCACGAGGTTAGTTTTGTTCATGCAGGTCAAATCTGGTGTGAACGGGACTCTGACAAGTTCTTGATTATGCAGTTGTATGCTTAATTAAATCAATTTTTATTGTAGCTTGCATGGAGGGTGAAAATATAAATCAAATACAATTTTTTTTTTTTTCCTATAAAGTCCTCATTCATCTTAGAGATTAACTAAACAAATTTTGTTTTCCATCACACCAAATGAACTGTTTGCCTTTTTGTGATTAGTGATGTTTCACCGCTTTTTACCTGGGGAAATTAAAGTCTCATGTAGAAGAGAGAATGGGTGGGGAGGAAGGTGAAGAAGGAAAGAACAGAAAGAAAAAAATTAAACCACATCCTGCTGACTAAAGTCAAAATTCAGACATAAACGAAGTGGGGGAAAACCCTCTATAATTCTATTTCCTACTTAAAATCTATTCTTATCAAAGCAAACACTTTGATGGAAGTTGAAGTAAATGGAAAGAAATGCCATAGAAATATTTGGCTGTCAGAAATGTGTGGCATTGACCATTTTTCTTTTCTTTCTACAGATATTGCTGTTGTAGAGATGAGTGATGCCTTTCGTCAGCCTTCCCTCTTCTACCACCTGGGAGTCAGAGAGAGCTTCAGTATGGCTAACAACATCATCCTCTACTGTGATACGAATTCTGAGTCCCTGCAGTCGCTGAAGGTAGCTCTGAATGAAAAAGTGCAAGAGGGGAAGTCGCAGTTGTTCAGCCCTTGAGATAAGACTCTGTGTTTCCATGAGAAATACAGAAGACATGTATGCTTCACAATAGAATAACAGAAATATTCTGAAGCCTAAAAAATAAGTTTTCAGTGCAATGCTGAAAAACTCAGTTCATTTTTCCTCAAGAGAAAAATGTAGATGACTTTACCATGGTCCGATAAATACTTTGGTGCTGAGTAGCTCTTTATGGAAACAGAAGTTTGACACGTCTCAGGACAGAACTTAAATATTTGGTTTTCTCAGTCAACAGAATTATCGTTACTTGGGGTTAACAGTAAGAACAATTGGTTAAGAAAGGTGGTTTGTAGGGGAGCAACAGGATAATCCTGACGTTTTAGCTCCTGTGCAAAATAGCAGTTTTCTGTCCTGATGGGACTGCAGTTGTCACTGGTAATTCTTGCTGAGTTACAGTTGTTTATATCAAGTACCTGCAGGATTCTTCTGCCGGAGTTTATTGACACTGTAGCAGTTAGTTAGACACAATTTATCCTTGTTTCTCAGTGACAGTGTTCGCCTTGTGGTAGGTTGGCTGAAGCAGAGTAGTGGTTTAAGGTAACTGTTAGCTGTGAACTGTGGAAGCCAAGGACTTGACACTCGCTCCATCCTACTCTGAAGTTTTGCTGACTTCCATGAGGTTGTGGGAGGGCAGACAATTTGGATAGCAGTTCTTAAATTACTTCCACTCCCTCAGATTCATTGGCTGTCATCAAGAGGTGTTACATGCCATTGCAGTTAAGCTCAAGGCATTGCTCAAAAGCATTTTAATAAGCAGCTTGGTGAGTCAGGTTACAGTCTGGGCACTGCTGCCTCTCACAAAGGGTTTGCTTCCACTGCTTCTGGCTAATGCAAGGTACTTGGTTTTGATTCTGCCTGGCTATTTGCAGCTTGGCTCTCCTGTAGGACAGAAATACCTTGAATTTAGTTTCTTCTCCCTGTGCCTCCATCCAAATGATCTTGGCCAACTGGAATGGTGGCAATCCAATTACTTTCCTTTGTTGTGCAAAACAAAGGGTATTCAGATAAAAACCCTAAAAATAAAACTGCTCATAGTAGAAGATCCACCTTTGGATTTAATTCAATTATGGAAGTACAGTGGTATAAGCAGAGCAGGATTTCATTGTACTACAGAGAAGCTAAACATTTGACTCCCACTGAAAGTTTGCTAGGAGTGAGGCACTGCTTCAGAAAAACTATTACTAGTTCAGGAATTGGACTTTGCAAACCAATCACGTGTTGGGTTCCCACTGGTGGAATCTGAATCCTATGGCATGAGGCTTCACTGTCCCAGGTGCCACTGTTATAATGCCCACTGGTGGGCTCAGAAACAATGCCCACAGTTGCTTTTAGCTTTGAGCTGAGCCATGTTTCCGCAGAGTGTTTGCAGAAAAATTGTTGAAGAGCAAATCCCTTTCCCTATTATGTAGTGACCATCTTAAAAAATAAAGAAAATAACATAGTTGTGGGTATGCAGGAGCATCTTTTGAGGCAGTGATTGTTCCTGTATTTGTTACAGCTAGCAGTTAGACTGGAAGCACTGTAGGAGTGTGCAGTATATTGTTAACTTTTGTTTTTTCTATGGGTAAGCTTTGTGTGTGCACTATTTTAATCTTGTATGTGAGGGTTGCGAATTGAAGAAAACAAAAGTAGTGATTATGGAAATGTAGGAAATACAGAACTGCAGCATGTGATTTAAATAAGATAAAAGGAAACATAGGTCACATCAATTAGGGGAAAAGCAGTTCATGGAAGTCTGAAACTTGCAACGGGAAAAGTATGAGGTGCCTTGCTTTGAGACTGCCTCTGTTTTAGTGATATGACTTGTGAACGTCTTCAGTGGTCACTGTGGAAGAAGTATAGTGTAGCTAATAAGCCTGGCAGTGGCAGAACTTCCTGAAGGCGAGGCCACTTCCCACAGGTGATGTGCCTTCAGGCAGCTTCTTGAGCTGTACCACCCAACTGCTGTGCAAGAACCACCTCTTCCTATCCACATGTGCTTTAGATTCTCGTTCTCTGAAACTTTGCATTTAAATTGTGATTTAAATTGTATATTCTTTGCATCAGATTTGTTTGAGCAACACAAATTTCAGCCAACTTGAATTGGTTGACTTTCAGTGCAAGCTGGGAATATCTGAAACTTCCTAGAAGTACTGCTTTTACTATTCTTTACAGGTTTTTCTACTGGCAGCAAGATAGTATTTGTAAAGCTAAATATGTATGTATTAATAGCTGACTTTTGGACAGTCCTATTCAGGACTGCATGTGCTCCTGTGTGTAGATACAGGATGTATGTATCTACTTAGTTCTGTAATCTTTTTCAATTACAGATTGTCTGTCTTGAGACAATACTGATTTCCATTGATTTGGCAGGCTAAGAAAACATGCATCAAACAGCTTCTTTCTGTCATTTGTCTGTATATTTTAAAGTTAGAAAGTCACACTGATCAGATGTCTCTTCCAGTATTTGTTCAATGTTATCAATGTTTCTCTTTTTTTTTTTTCCCTAGGAAATTATTTGCCAGAAGAATAATGTAAGTATGACTTGTGTGCCAGCTGAATTCTAGGCATTCCAAACTTCTGTGGCATTTCATGTTGTTTATCATGTTTTCCATTTGAATCATTTAACACTTTCCTACTGTATTTTACAGAGTTCTGAAGCTGCTAGCAGCAAATCTGTGTGCATCACTTTGTTGCTAGGTACCAGGCTCACTTCTTACCTTGCTTCCATCTATCACTGGTATTCTCCTTGCTGCCTTTACTTGTCTGTCATTTTTTTTTTTTCCATACACTACTTTCATCTTTCATTTTGTCAGGTTTTTGTTTTCTTTTTCTCTGTGCAGTGTTCTTCAGGTTGTTGTTGGATTTGTTTGTTCTCTGTTTGTGCGGGTGTTGTTTTTTAAAGAAAAGAAATTATGGAAATGATTAAGGAAAAAAAAAACAAAAAACAAACAAACAAACAAAAAAAACCACCCCCTATTGAAAAGGAACTGTTTAGAAACTGATGCTCATTTTAGAAACGTATGGCTGAAGCTATGAAGGTATATATATTGAGAAAGAGAAAGTATGTGTGTCTATTTCTGGAAGCAAAAGTTGGGAGCCTGCTAGCCCTTGTGCAGTGCTGATCCCAGAATTTTCTATCCTTTTGGTTTCTGAGGTTGGCCTTGCAAATCTCCCTTCCCTTTTTCACTTACATTCAACGTGGGCAGAGCTCTGGCTGTGAGCACTGGTTTCTCCATGTGGTTTGTTGAGGAGCAGCACGGCCAGTCACGTCAGAATGTATATTTGGTATGCTGAGCTCTTGGCTTCACCTGGGGACATGCTGATAGCCATATATGTTAGGATATAATTTTGTAGCAGTTAGTTGCTTCGTATCCTGAGGTGCTGTACAGTTCCTGTATTTGTATAATTGTTTTTATGGGCACATGAAGTATTTAATTTTAGAAATTGGTTGGGTTTTATTTCCCACAGTGTTAAAACTGCCACAGAAACTGCAATATTCCTGGTTTTTACGTTGTTTTATTTAATGTCACAGTTCATGCACTTAAGTACTGATTTCTACCTATATGAAGCAAGATTTTATTGAAGTGGGTGCAGTCACTCACTATGGCTCATAGAATTTCTAAAGAAAGCTTTAAAATCCCATGGGAGCTTTGGCCCTAATGCTGTCTTTTAAATTACATAGTGTTTTTTGATTTAAAAAAAATGGAAGCACAGAGCACATTCCATGGATCTCTGTGCATATCTTAAGTGCATTTCAGTGATTCTCAGAATCTTGTAAACGATGTGATAAGCTAAAAACCTCCTGCCTTTCTGCAATGAAAATGGGGTAGGTGATCAGTTAGGTCTTCACCCAGGAAGAAACAAACCAGTGAGGGCTTTCTTCCTTCCTCATGTGTATCACATACTTGTTTGTTTGACCCACAGTGGCAGAAATCTAGGTAAACGGATGAGTATGTAATATAATGTCTATGTGAGGACTGGGGAAATGGTTTTGTTGGCAGGAAACCAGCAGGAGGTGGCTTGTGAAGTAGAATAAAAGGAGGATATTGTCTTGTCCTACTTCTGCGTGACAGCTTCTGAAGTTGCAGGAGCGGAATGATAACTTGGCCTTTACCTGTTTGAGAAAGAATTGTTCTGTTTAAATTCAGATAGGTGGCTGTGAAACTGTCACTTACCACTTTTAGAAATGTTTCAATATATGCCACAAAAAGTGTGGTCCTTGAGAATCTCAGATGTTTTCAAGCACACCCACGTAACATGTTTTCTGAGAGGAAATGTTTTCCTAGTGATTAGAGCACAGAATGCAGTAAAAAACTGGCTTAGCAACTCTGGAACTAATTGTTTTTCTTTTTTTTCCCCCCTCAGTTTTTGGCATGATATGAGCCAAATTACCTGGAAATAGAATTTTCAAAATGTTGGTGTGTATCTAATTGCTGAATATAATTCCTGCTTTATGAAAATCATGTTTACTCATAAATCCACAGTCTTGCATAAATTGGTATAACAAATTTAAAGTTGGTATAGCCCACTCTACATAAATCTGGTGATGCTGCAGATAGAGGGTAAAAAAATGAAATCGGTGTAAGAATAAAAGTGAATGTTAGACCCGCAGTTCTAGAAAATGTGTTTTAATAGCATGCAAACATCAGCCATAACAGCACAATAGTATCCCTGGCACCAGTGGATTAAAAGGCTGCAAAACAAATGTGTGTTTATCTATATATAGATCTGTCTTACTGAAATGGCTTGTTTGCTTTTCCTGAACCTTATCTTCCTAAAAATGAACGCGGAGAGGGGGAGAAAAAAAAAAAAATCCATTATCAACTGTTTCGTCCTTTGTTCTACCTGGATTTTTGTGCTTCCAAGTTATGGTCAATACAGCATTGCATAGCTAGCATAAACTGCATTGAGCTTGGCAGGGCAGGGAAAGATAATGTGGGCTCATTTCCTGTTACATGTGGTTTTATAGCTGGTTAGTTGGATCTTTTCCAAACGTTGCAATGATATCAGAAAACATACATTTTTACAGGGAGTGATACTTTGACAGAAGGCAGTGACTTTGATATTTGAAAGCTTAATTTTATTTTTTTTCTTGTTATCTGATTTTTGAGGTCAACCAAGCAGCAGAGGCATTCTAGAAATTGCTAGTAAAGAGTTTTGGTCATGAAGACAAGTTGGTATAAAGGTTACAGCTTTTGGCTGTGCTTTGCTTGGCTTTTTATTTGGCTTAGTTCTACCTGGCTTGAGTCTTACTGACTTTGGAGAAAAGCTGCGGGTCAAGTAACAATAAATGGTGATTTATTGATGCAATTTTTTTTTTTTTTTTTCAATTTAAGAATTTCAATTCTTGCTCAATCTGAGGGATTTGAATGTACTGCAGCCAACACAGTAACATCTTGACAGTGTACACCTTTCGAGTCCAGGCTTTATGCTTACACCATGCTGGTGTGATGCACTGCCTCAGGAGCTGCTGGGGGGCAGAGCCTCCCTGACAAGCCACTCTGATGATCACAGCAGAGATGAGGGCTGAATGAGAACTGTTCAGCTAGGCAGCTGACTCACAAGGTTAGCAGTAAGGCACAGGGGTTAGTGCTGTACAGCTGAGAACTCTTATTATCGTTTCCTGTCATTCACTGGGATCCGAGTTTGTAATCAGTAACGGTTTTCCACAGCCCATCCTAAGGATGGAGCTGCCTCCTGTTAAAGGCACAAATTGGAGATCAGCTTGGTTGTGCTCCTTCAGAGCAAGTGGTCCTGAATGAGGCATGCCAGGAGCTTTACCAAGCTTCCAGCCTCCACATATAGCATATATAGGTAACTGCAGATCTCATGAGGATATGCGTGTGTATATATGTGGTTTCTTCCCCTCTAGCAATAGAGGGAAGTATTTCTAATACTCCTTTTCCCACTAGCAAATGACTTAGGGGCTGTTTTTTGTTTTTTTGTTTGTTTGTTTTTAATCAAGTGTATAGAAATGTGAAACAATAACCACTAAGGATATTTTGTTGCTGAACTATTTATTGTTATTCATGGTTCATCATTGTCCTTTTGCTCTTTTTTTTTTTTTTTTTCCCCAAGCTTTGAGTTCATTGATATATTTGGTGCATATTTTCCTTGGAAAAATTTAGCTTTTTTTTTTTTTTTTTTTCCCTCCATTAATATTTTGTGAGAATGTATAAAATGTATGCTGATTTTTAACAAGCATTTAGGATGTGGCATGGCTGCAAAAGGCTGTTATTGCTAGGCATGAAAAGAAAGTGGGAACTGTTTGAAAGATCAGACCCAGTCTCTGTGCTTTAATTAATTTGAGGTGTGAAGGCCACTTTTATTCCTTTTCCAATCAATAGAAAGGCTGTCGTTCATTTGAATGGGATTTGAAATAAGCCCAGACTGAGCCTGTATTCATTAAAACGCCAGCACATGTTGATTTACTGTGTGTTTGGGGATGGAGGGAATAGGTTTAATAACTTGTTCTAGGATTTTGCCATCTGTTACATGCAACACCGTGAGCAGTTACAGAATTACCTTTAATAAAAATCTCATGAAAACAGTTGGAATAGGAAGAGATTGATATTCCTCAAATGAACTGGTAGGAAAAAATGGGAAAAAGCTGATCTAATTAGAGGAGAGTCATCAGGAAGAACAGCTCCTGTAATGACAAATACTGCTTATTTTTATTACCACCACTAATTTGATTAAAAGAAAAAAAAATTACATTGGATGCTGACCTGAAGAGTAGGCAGCTAGATGTAATTCTGTTGTGTTCTTTCATGTATAAGTAAATCATCATGATTTTGGTTTTCAGGGGTTTTGTCTTCTCTGGTGCTTCTTGTCCTTGAAGGCATTTTCCTTCTGTTTGTGGACTTTTGACTGCTCAGTGATTCCAACAGAGTCCTGGGGATGAGAGGAGTAGGCACTATCAACTTCTTCAGGTTTTACAGAGTTTCTCCCTCATTTTGAAGTAAAATTCAAGATCTGGGAATTATTTGAGCGGGACTCAGGTGTTGTTTTGTAAAGCACTGTGCTGGCTTAATCTATACAGCTTTCAGAGGGATACCTTCTTTTCCACATGTGATATCTGTGTCAGGGAGAGAATGGTGTTCACCTTACTGCACAACTTTCTTTCTAATTAGCTGTGGTGTCTCTTAATTAACTTTTCCAAAAAAACTATGCCTTACAGAAGCAATGGTCTTACTTTAAAGAGGGATGTTGGAAGAAGGGTTTGCATGTGTTCTTGTTGCAGTTATCAAAATGTAACTGTGTGCTATGTTTTTATTATCCCTCTTAGAAACAAACAAATGAAACATGAATTTATTTTCATTAGCAGAGAAAGGGTATCAGGCAAGAAGGGTGTGCTTAATGTTCCACTGACCAATGGATCTAACCAAAAATAGCTTATTCTCAAATTCTTTAATGGCAGAGCCATTAATATAAACTTATGGCTGTGTCTAAACTGGAAATGTATGCAGCCTGGAATTTTTTTATTTTCCACAGCAAGTTAGAAAGGGACACTAGGAAAATACATAGCAATTAAAACATTCATAAAAATGGATTACAGATTTAGTCATTTGATGATAAATATCTATGCATGCATAACTGACTCCAAGCAGTACTGCTACTTTGACTGGTTTGGTGATGAAGGCTGTGATATGGATGTGATTTCAGAAGGTTGATGTTGCCAGGTGCTGAGTGTGCTGGCTCAAAGCCTTCAGAGTATGTGTTTATGTCTCCTGGATATAACTAGCTCCAGTGATCTGAGAATTTGGGCCCGGTTTGCCTCATCTCATGTCCTGAGGTAATCTCCTACATCAGGATGAACCCCAGTACTCTGTGTGCACATTCCTTGTCTGTCACAGCCTTGATGCTCGCAGTAACTGTTTGAACCTGCAGCTCAGGTCACTTCTAGTGACTCTGTAACGTTAGCGTGATGTGAGCTTTTGAACTGTAAATAATGATGGGTTCATAAACTAAGGAGGCTGGGAAGTGAAACTTCCAGCAACTGCTGTTGATTGCGCTGGGAGAAGGATCTCTTCACACCTGCTTTTGAAGCCTTTTTATGCTACTTGCAATTATGACTTTGGTTACATCAACACTCCTTTAAAAATGCAATTGTATTTAAGGTGTGTTACTGCTTCAAAAATTGCCTGTTTTTCCTGAATGGCTTGGTGATGCTGCTTCTGTTGTGCATAATAAAGTGAGTCAGAGTAGTGGATCAAAGGAAAATAGCACTTCTCCCTTGTGTTCAGCAGCGTAAAATATGGATTAAGGTTAATTATTAGACTTAAGAAAGAGTATCAGAATTTGTGAAAGAAGAATTGGGATCGAGTGTTACAGGACAGATTTTAAAAGGATAAGAGAAAAATGTTCAAGCTGAACAATGGGCAGTGAATAAGTCAAAATCAGAAGCAGCGTGTGAGCAGATAGGTGGTTTTTCTAACACATTCTTCCTGGCTTAAATTAGTGTAGCATGTATTTTGACAGAGAGCCCTGCCCAAATGCAGCCAGGATCTGGCATTTTGTAGCTGGAATTTGTGACAGTAGCAAAACTTATTTTCTCCATAGTGGGAGACTCTGGACTTTGTGAGGGCAAGACTGTTGTTTGTTGTTTGTTTGTTTGTTTTTAAGTAAAAACATCTTCCTTCCCCACACACCTTTGATAAATAATACATCTTAGTTGTTTTCTTTTCCCTTGTGTCACCTGAGCTACTGTATCTTTGCCTTTTTCAGGTTCATCTGATAAAAACCTAGTGTACTTTTTCACTTGGAAAGTGAAAATTAGGTCACTATTTCTTGTATTTCTTCAGTGCATGTGGCATTTTGACTTTTTCTTTATGCCTTCCCCAAAGAAAAGAAAACCTAAGAACTTGTATATTTTTTTTTCCCCTCCTGTACCCTATTGCTGTATCTGCCTGTCTGATGAATTTCAGACAGTTCTGAGATGTTTCAGGGACACAGAACTCCTCAGAAAATGTAGCTATCTTGGTTGAATTAACATCCACAGTAATGCCCTAGCTGAGGGAAAGGCCAGTGTGTTCCCACCTCACCACAGAACCATGGTGAGAGCGTGCCTTCAGTTACCAGAGAAATCTGGGGACACTGAGGAGAGCTTTGTTTTACTTTCTTCTGTTTTCTTCTTGTGTGGTACTTCTGCCTTTTACTGTTAAGTTCTTCCCTTAATCTTTCAGTATTCTGTTTCTGAATACTGGGTTTGTGTGTCTGAAATAGCAGGTTCTATAATGTAGAACGTAGCCAGGGTTGGGTTTTGTGATGGTGTTTTTTTTTCTTTTTCTTTTTTGCCTCAAGTATGAAGCAAAATGCACATAAATTAGCTTCTGCTGGCTCTCTTGTTCCACTGAAATAGATGCCCTCTTCCTAGAGAAGGTGCATGCAAAGAGCAGCTTTCCTACTTGTAGGATTATTTACAAAGACTCCATTACTATCTTTGTAGGTGGCCTGACCATTAAGCCAGAATAAACTTTGGGTTCTGTGGATTTCAGAAGCTAGAAACATCCTTTTTCAGAGCTGATTTTTCTCTAAGATCTATGCCAGAGGTCTGAGAAGCCTTCCTGCAAGCCGTCTTGAATTTATTCTTAATGCGCTGAATAAACATTAGGAAGTAAAATATTTGCCCTAGGATATCTGTAGCTACTTCACCCTTTCTCTTGGCTCTGATTTCCCAGCCTTTTCCCTTTATTAAAAAAAAAAAAAGAAAAAAAAAAAAAAAAAAGGGAAAATCATCCTCCTGTGCTTCAATAGGGGCTTCTGTGCCAGTTATTGCCCACCCTTGTGCTGAAACTGCTGAAACCAGTTCCAGCAAATTTATTATTTCCTCTCTGCGTTTGACTGCAAGGCTTATTATGCTTTACCAGGGTCAAAGGTTTGTCTGTTCACTCTTAAGAGTGTATGCTAACCTTACAGGCTGGCATATTCTTGAGCAGAACTGTTCATTCAATTCTCTGTCATAAAGGCAAGCAGTTTGATTTCTAGCCTTGCACTCCCTTAATTCCCTGTTAAAAATATTGCCATTATACCCTTCCCAGTTCTCAGGTTTTTTTTGGAGTTGCTACATTCCATGCACAGCAAACTGTGCCCTAGCTATTCAGCTGTAATAGTTTGCAGGTGCTGGGGAGGAAAACTAAATTCATCCTTGCACAAGTCTGTGTGTGCAGTAATCCCTCAACAGCTTCTGGGTGAGTTGAACAAAATGAACCTCATGTAATTTAACTTCACAATTTGTCTGTATCCCTCAGAAGTGGGATGGGATTGCTTCTGTAGTTGGATCTCATGCTTTAATAGTGTAATATGCATAATTAAAAAATATATATATTGCTATGCATTTTGCTCCCAATCTCAAGTACGCATTTACTGACATAACTATACGTATATGCTTATACAGTCTAGAATTCTTCAGTCCTTTTATCTTTTTAAAATCTAATTATGCATGCTAAAATGGTGTTTTATGGCACATGGTTGAATTAATGCTTTTGAAAACAATGCAGTCACTGCTGTTTCAATGCATGAGGCCCTGCTTGACTGCGGAGTCTCTGAGGTGATGTCCTCATTGCTGTATTGACTTCTGACAGAGCAGAAGCTGACCAGAAAGTAGTTTGCCTTAGAAATAATTTAGAGGCACCAAAATGTAGGATCTTAAGAACTGCTTCCTTAGGGCTTTTCTTGCTGGGCTGCGTGCCACTTCAGTAGTGGAGTGTGAGTTTAAAATCAAATGGCAGCCCGTCTCCTGACTTTTGGTGGTATGCTGTTTTATAGCTAAAATCTTTCAGAGCAACAAATGTTCAGCAAGTTCTCCGTGGGCATAAATCTGTACTCACATACCACAGGCACCAGGCGTCTTGCCTCCTTGTTTCCTGAAAGATAAATGATTTATTTTTATTTTGCAGAGTATCTGTCACATTGATATATGTAAATCAATACAATTTGACAATTCTAAGACATTCCATAAGTGATTATTCTGAAATATGTATGATTTTAAGTCCTGCTTAGAGTTACTGCGTAGCAGGGAATTTCATTTGTCATTGTTATGCTGAACTACTTGAGTCATTCTGTGATTCATATTGGATTCATAGTGGATTCATTTTCTCACTATTTTCCTGTTGTGATGCAATTGATTTATGTTACTGTTTTTAACACTTGTGATATGCGTTTCAGATGTATACCATGTACAAGATGAATATTGAATATATGTAATTGTAGGCTCCATATTTAAAGTCTTTGTCCCTTTTGCCTTCAACAGGTACAATTCTACCCATTATTTATGCAGTTTTTCTAGGCCTAGGCTTGCCAAATAATAATTGCCCTAACCATCGTGCCTTGTTTTCTTACAGATGTGCACTGGTAACTACATCTTTGTTCCTTACATGATAACTCCACATAACAAGGTGTACTGCTGCGATAGTAGTTTTATGAAAGGACTAACAGAACTGATGCAGCCAAGTTTTGAATCGCTGCTTGGGCCTATTTGCTTACCTCTGGTGGATCGATTTATCCAACTCTTGAAGGTGGCACAGGCCAGCTCGGGGTGAGTTGATGTTTTGTATCCCTTTGTATATTGTATTTTTCTGCTGACAATACAAATGTCGGATCTCTTGCCTTCAGAGTGAGCGATGTTTCTGTTGAGACAAATTGATAATGAATTACTGAATAATTTAGCTTGACCAACTCTCCCCACTAATGCTGCTCTATGCTAAATGTTTCACAAAGGTATTGCGGTAGTGTTGCAGGGCCATAAAAACAAATGCAAAAATCTTTCACAAAGTGCTAACGTGAAGTTGTTCCCCTCCAGCCAGTATTTCCGGGAATCCATCCTTAATGACATTAGGAAGGCCCGTACCCTCTACACTGGCAAAGAGCTTGCAGCAGAGCTGGCGAGGATTCGGCAGCGAGTGGATAATATTGAGGTCTTGTCTGCTGACATTGTAATCAACTTGCTGCTGTCCTACAGAGACATCCAGGTATGTATCCTCTGCTCAAAGATAATCTAAAAATGTGATGAAGTTAATTCTCAATGGAATTGTAGTACATTTTGCACACCTTTTCTAAGAAACTATATAAAGAATGCGCACCAGTAAAAAATTTGTTGCAGTATCTTCACTAATGCTCTTTACTTTTAGTTATATTGTTCAGTGTGCCTTTACATAGCTGAAAATACATTATAGCAGCACCTAAAAAATATGTAACATACATCACGTCTCCATGTCAGCATTGTTACGTGACAAGCAGCCTGTAGTGTGCCCTACTTAAAGGCCGTGGTAGTGTTCCGCTAGTGATATGTTTGTGTTCTGACTATGAGCTTTATCACCATGTGTATGACATTTCTCTTGGCAACATAACATGTTTGTATGCATTGCAGCTTCTCTGAATGGTACTAGTAACTGCTTGCTTTATTATACATAGTTTCAGTT